ATGAAATAGTATCATTTAAGATTTACAACAAGCTCTGTACATTAGTTGAGGAGGGGGGGACCAATGACCACAAATGCATGAGAATATCTGAGTGTACGTAAAAATTACCCTTATGTTTGAAAATCATAGTCAAAAAAACATTTTCAACACATAAATAAGGTACCGAACTTATAAGAGATAACAAAGTTCAAATCAATACATGGTTTGAGTGTGTCATTTAACCACAAGAGAACAAAGTATAAGGGTAACGAATTCTCTCACTAAGAAAGCAATGACACTTTACAACAGCGACCGCCGGCTTTGCCGAAAGGTGTCGGAAACTGGACAGTGAAGCGGGGGTAGCGACTCGGTCACTAGACCGTGACACAAGCAGTATTACGACTCGGTCACTAGACCGTGACACAAGCAGTATAACGACTCGGTGACTAGACCGTGACACAAGCAGTACAACGACTCGGTCACTAGACCGTGACACAAGCAGTATAACGACTCGGTGACTAGACCGTGACACAAGCAGTATAACGACTCGGTCACTAGACCGTGACACAAGCAGTATAACGACTCGGTCACTAGACCGTGACACAAGCAGTATAACGACTCGGTGACTAGACCGTGACACAAGCAGTATAACGACTCGGTCACTAGACCGTGACACAAGCAGTATAACGACTCGGTGACTAGACCGTGACACAAGCAGTATAACGACTCGGTCACTAGACCGTGACACAAGCAGTATAACGACTCGGTGACTAGAACGTAACACAAGCAGTATAACGACTCGGTGACTAGACCGTGACACAAGCAGTATAACGTCTCGGTGAGTAGACCGTGACACAAGCAGTATAACGACTCGGTCACTAGACCGTGACACAAGCAGTATAACGACTCGGTGCCTAGACCGTGACACAAGCAGTATAACGACTCGGTGACTAGACCGTGACACAAGCAGTATAACGACTCGGTCACTAGACCGTGACACAAGCAGTATAACGACTCGGTGCCTAGACCGTGACACAAGCAGTATAACGACTCGGTCACTGGACCGTGACACAAGCAGTATAACGACTCGGTGACTAGACCGTGACACAAGCAGTATAACTACTCAGTGACTAGACCGTGACACGAGCAGTATAACGACTCGGTCACTGGACCGTGACACAAGCAGTATAACGACTCGGTCACCAGAGCGTGACAATAGCAGTTTAACGACTCGGTGACTAGACCGTGACACAAGCAGTATAACGACTCGGTTACCAGAGCGTGACAATAGCAGTTTAACGACTCGGTGACTAGACCGTGACACAAGCAGTATAACGACTCGGTGACTAGACCGTGACACAAGCAGTATAACGACTCGGTGACTAGAACGTAACACAAGCAGTATAACGACTCGGTGACTAGACCGTGACACAAGCAGTATAACGTCTCGGTGAGTAGACCGTGACACAAGCAGTATAACGACTCGGTCACTAGACCGTGACACAAGCAGTATAACGACGCGGTGCCTAGACCGTGACACAAGCAGTATAACGCCTCGGTGACTAGACCGTGACACAAGCAGTATAACGACTCGGTGCCTAGACCGTGACACAAGCAGTATAACGACTCGGTCACTGGACCGTGACACAAGCAGTATAACGACTCGGTCACTAGACCGTGACACGAGCAGTATAACGACTCGGTCACTGGACCGTGACACAAGCAGTATAACGACTCGGTCACCAGAGCGTGACAATAGCAGTTTAACGACTCGGTGACTAGACCGTGACACAAGCAGTATAACGACTCGGTCACCAGAGCGTGACAATAGCAGTTTAACGACTCGGTGACTAGACCGTGACACAAGCAGTATAACGACTCGGTGACTAGACCGTGACACAAGCAGTATAACGACTCGGTGACTAGACCGTGACACAAGCATTATAACGACTCGGTCACTAGACCGTGACACAGGCAGTATAACGAATCGGTGACTCGATCGTGACACAAGCAGTATAACGACTCGGTCACTAGACCGTGACACAAGCAGTATAACGACTCGGTGCCTAGACCGTGACACAAGCAGTATAACGACTCGGTGACTAGACCGTGACACAAGCAGTATAACGACTCGGTCACTAGACCGTGACACAAGCAGTATAACGACTCGGTGCCTAGACCGTGACACAAGCAGTATAACGACTCGGTCACTGGACCGTGACACAAGCAGTATAACGACTCGGTCACTAGACCGTGACACAAGCAGTATAACTACTCAGTGACTAGACCGTGACACGAGCAGTATAACGACTCGGTCACTGGACCGTGACACAAGCAGTATAACGACTCGGTCACTAGACCGTGACACAAGCAGTATAACGACTCGGTCACTAGACCGTGACACAAGCAGTATAACCACTCGGTCACTAGACCGTGACACAAGCAGTATCGCGACTCGGTGACTAGACCGTGACACAAGCAGTATAACGACTCGGTGACTAGACCGTGACACAAGCAGTATAACGACTCGGTGACTAGACCGTGACACAAGCAGTATAACGACTCGGTTACCAGAGCGTGACAATAGCAGTTTAACGACTCGGTGACTAGACCGTGACACAAGCAGTATAACGACTCGGTGACTAGACCGTGACACAAGCAGTATAATGACTCGGTGACTAGACCGTGACACAAGCATTATAACGACTCGGTCACTAGACCGTGACACAGGCAGTATAACGAATCGGTGACTCGATCGTGACACAGGCAGTATAACGACTCGGTCACTGGACCGTGACACAAGCAGTATAACGACTCGGTCACTAGACCGTGACACAAGCAGTATAACGACTCGGTGACTGGACCGTGACACAAGCAGTATAACGACTCGGTGACTAGACCGTGACACAAGCAGTAAAACGAATCGGTGACTAGACCGTGACACAAGCAGTAAAACGACTCGGTCACTAGACCGTGACACAAGCAGTAAAACGACTCGGTGACTAGAACGTAACACAAGCAGTATAACGACTCGGTGACTAGAACGTAACACAAGCAGTATAACGACTCGGTGACTGGACCGTGACACAAGCAGTATAACGACTCGGTGACTAGACCGTGACACAAGCAGTATAACGACTCGGTGACTGGACCGTGACACAAGCAGTATAACGACTCGGTCACTAGACCGTGACACAAGCAGTATAACGACTCGGTGCCTAGACCGGGACACAAGCAGTATAACGACTCGGTCACTAGACCGTGACACAAGCAGTATAACGACTCGGTGACTAGACCGTGACACAAGCAGTATAACGACTCGGTGACTGGACCGTGACACAAGCAGTATAACGACTCCGTGACTAGACCGTGACACAAGCAGTATAACGACTCGGTGACTAGACCGTGACACAAGCAGTATAACGACTCGGTGACTGGACCGTGACACAAGCAGTATAACGACTCGGTGACTAGACCGTGACACAAGCAGTATAACGACTCGGTCACTAGACCGTGACACAAGCAGTATAACGACTCGGTGACTGGACCGTGACACAAGCAGTATAACGACTCGGTCACTAGACCGTGACACAAGCAGTATAACGACTCGGTCAGTAGACCGTGACACAAGCAGTATAACGACTCGGTCACTAGACCGTGACACAAGCAGTATAACGATTCGGGGACTAGACCGTGACACAAGCAGTATAACGACTCGATGACTAGACCGTGACACAAGCAGTATAACGACTCGGTGACTAGACCGTGACACAAGCAGTATAACGACTCGGTGACTAGACCGTGACACAAGCAGTATAACGACTCGGTGACTAGACCGTGACACAAGCAGTATAACGACTCGGTGACTAGACCGTGACACAAGCAGTATAACGACTCCGTGACTGGACCGTGACACAAGCAGTATAACGACTCGGTGACTGGACCGTGACACAAGCAGTATGACGACTCGGTGACTAGAACGTAACACAAGCAGTATAACGACTCGGTGACTAGACCGTGACACAAGCAGTAGAGCGACTCGGTCACTAGACCGTGTCACAAGCAGTATAGCGACTCGGTCACCAGAGCGTGACACAAGCAGTATAACGACTCGGTCACTAGACCGTGACACAAGCAGTATAACGACTCGGTGACTAGACCGTGACACAAGCAGTATAACGACTCGGTGACTAGAACGTAACACAAGCAGTATAACGACTCGGTGACTAGACCGTGACACAAGCAGTAGAGCGACTCGGTCACTAGACCGTGTCACAAGCAGTATAGCGACTCGGTCACTAGACCGTGACACAAGCGGTATAACGACTCGGTCACTAGACCGTGACCCGAGCAGTATAACCACTCGGTCACTTGACCGTGACACAAGCAGTATAACGACTCGGTGACAGCAGTGTACACCCTTGTACATGTTATAACAGAGAGGAACATTACCCCTACCTCAGGGCTACACAACAGAATAGACACAATTGTTATTGTGGATGGCTGGACAAGAATCTGTACAAGTGTTGACTGTAGTTACAAATTGCTCCCCACCAAGTACACAATTACTTCCCTTGTAATGGCAAAGTGCACATTGACATCAAGGGAATAATGTACAAATTTACATACTTGTTTGTAACACAACATTACAAGATTTGCATAGAACATGAATTACAACGTATTATACTGGACTGCTAGTTTAAAGCTACATGGCAGATACAAGTAGACTTGTTATTTAATTCTTTGTATAAATACCATTCGCCGTTACACTGAAACAGGTTGCCAGTAACTTTGTTCATTTGAACGTCTGATGAGTAATGTGCAGTGCTGCAAACTGAACTACAAGGAGGACCTTTTGTACTGAGGATGGTTCAGAGGTATTTCCAAATAACGGTAGATCTGGGATCTTGAATCAAAGGTTTTATAAACACGATATAGTTTCATTTTGACCCATCAATTTTGATTTGAACCTCAGTTGTTAGTTGTAGAGATTTGGGTAAATGTCCGGCATAGAAGACTAGTTAATCGTCCACTGGAGATATATAGCTGACAACAATCTTCGGATCAACGTGAACACCCCTCTCCAAGTGACCGTAATCCTTGGTAGATGTGCCTGGTGCGTCATCGCCAGCTTCATCAACAGCTTCACCTCCTGGATAGCAATCAGCTAAAACAGGCAAATCAGTGTCACCATCTTCACCGGCAGTTTCTTTGTTCTGGGAGGGAATATGGATGTCTATATCTTCGTCTTTGATCTCCCAGTACAGCTCTATCGTCTGGTACACCGCTGAAGAGGTGTCCCTCCGTCTGGGAATATCATCAAATGCCCCTTCGCTCTCGTGTTGTCTGTTGTAACAAAGATGTCAAGAGATTCAGTCTTTACTGTTGGTTATTAACATCAATAATAGGTGGTGGCAGAAACGTTACATCTCGTTTCATGCGCTAACATACAGGCGTGAATGCATTGTGTGTGAGTGAGTGCCCGAGCTGGCTTTAACGCCGCTTTGAACAGTATTCCACTTATATCACGGCGTGTCAGCACAGGTATGGTGCTGATAAACCTAGAAACTTAATCAAGCGAACCGAGTTGCGAACCCACAATCATAGGTTTCTGTCGTGCCCAAGGGACGGCAACTCTGCACAGCGAATAGCGGCGCCTTATACGGCTGGGCCACCGTGCCCCCTAATGCTTTGTAAACGACGTCAACTCTGATGGAGTGAATATCGCCCTTTTCAATGTCAAACCAAATGTATAACTCGACAGACTGTGTAAGGAATGTGTAATTGTTTAAATGAACTAAGATATGTAAAAACGTTGTGAGAGACTTAACAGGGTGCCTGCGGTCATGACTATACTGACCTTCTTTTATATCTGCGTCTCCAGTACCAGATACAGCATGCCACCAGGATGATGGGGACAAACAACACAATCACTGTCACAGTTACTGTCAGGGTTTCACCAGTCCTTGCAGCGCCTGACAAATAAAATTGAAGCAACACATGATACTGCATGTATGTATCAGTATGCTGTCTCTGCAATATTAACTTAATTTCTTGGCATTAGCAATCCAGGATTCCAACGGCACTGATTAACGCAAAGCAGTTCAAGGCGTTAGAACATGTCTACACACATATATCCAATCGCAAACTATATAACCCTAGATTTCACAATCGTCAATTTATGTCAGGCAAATACCTTATTCCCCAAGCCAGCAATGGGTGGTTTCGTCTCACACAAATAATATTGGGCCTGAGCAAGCTACTGGCCTTGGGTGTTATGGTAATGAAACTGGTATTAAACTGATTGTTGTGTATAAATCCATTATACGTTCAGTTGGGAGAAGACAGACTGGATTGTTTTCTGGCGTTTCTGTTTCCGTCTTTCTCCCCTGTGAACGTTTCCCGTTTCTAACGCTTTCGGAGAAACTGTCAGCCATGTTGTGAGCCTATCAATATGGTTCTGTTATGTGTGTGTTTTTATATTTTTAGTTAATATATATTTCGATTTTTCCTGGTTAACCATGCGAGTATGTACACAAAATACAAACAATCTGTAAATCATAAACAGCAATGTTGTAACAAATGTCAATGTTGTAAAAGTGAAAATTCCTGTTGAAGTGTGTGTAACAGCTAGCTGCATAAACATCCGGAAAATGTGTGTTTTGCTGTAATCATTGCACATACCTTGTAAGTTAGTCACAAGTTGCAACATTTCTTATTGTTATAGCTTGTACCTACCTGTCTGCAATATGGCTGCATAAGAAATGGACAGTAAGAAAATAGAAAACTGTCAGTCAATCTCTTTTTGATCAAGTTTGAATCTACGAATGGCAATCTACCCAAACCTAAGTGTAGAATAAACATAATTCAAGACACAAGTTAAGGATTGTTTAACGTCGCTATATAAGTGCAATAACCTTGGACGCAACGTTAAACCCCATTTCACCTCCCCTCACCTAAGGATTGTTTCAATGCCTTAAGTGTATCATCTACATAAACCATTCTTATAATGAAACTGAAACGTTGCATGAATGAGCTCAACACTGCTATGTGGTATTGGTGTTACAGTTTGCCTAACTATCGATGCATCGCAAGTGTCCATTGCCCGCTGCCAATATTTCGATGCAAATGTTGTGGATCACGTAAAATATCTATCGTTGAAATCATTGACGCACTGTACTATAAATAATAGAATCCATGGACATAATATCAATTACATTATATTTACTGTGCCATCGTATTGATTCAAAATACACGTAAATATGTTTCTTACTAACATTATCTCCAGATTTACGTTTATTGCTTTCATGAAGACTGTTCATATCCAAAACATTAAACTCCATATATCATTCAATCATTGTTAGGGTCGAGACATTTGATATCCAAACGCCCATATCATTGACAATTAATTAATCTAATTTATGCTGGTGGAGACAAAGCATTTTTACAGAGGTATATAAACCATGAACCGTTTACACAATGATTTTATTCCAGCATATTGTGGAGTTTTCTTAAGTGTCGTGGAATAGTGTACAGCCTGTCCTCAAGACCATCTACAGATTAGGTAAAACTTGTAGAAAACCATCTACAGATTAGGTAAAACCTGTAGGAAACACTCTACAAATTAGGTAAAACTTGTAGAAAACCATCTACAGATTAGGTAAAACTTGTAGGAAACCATCTACAGATTAGGTAAAACTTGTAGAAAACCATCTACAGATTAGGTAAAACTTGTAGAAAACCATCTACAGATTAGGTAAAACTTGTAGAAAATCATCTACAAATTAGGTAAAACCTGTAGAAAACCATCTACAAATTAGGTAAAACTTGTAGAAAACCATCTACAGATTAGGTAAAACTTGTAGAAAACCATCTACAGATTAGGTAAAACTTGTAGAAAACCATCTACAGATTAGGTAAAACTTGTAGAAAACCATTTACAGATTAGGTAAAACCTGTAGAAAACCATCTACAAATTAGGTAAAACCTGTAGAAAACCATCCATCATTTTCCAAACTATCTGGTTTGCTTCCTGGTTGCAGACATCAATGGGAGAAACATATGTATGCAATCTACTTCCTTCACACTTACTTGTGTTGAAAGATCCTGCAAGGTCCTCTGGTAGTGTATAGTTGCTTGTACAGTTGACAGTTTGCTGACATCCGTCAGTTGAACACGACGTACAAGTCAGGTTACAGTATTCCCCATGGTGGCCGCTGGAGCAGCCATGCAGGCACAGACCGCTGTTGGTGTGGCACGCTTGATGGAGACAATTCTCAGAACATGACTCACAGCTAGAGCCCCACCGACCAACAACACATCCTTCTACACAATCTCCAACACCATCACAACGTTGATGTGCACAGCGAGGGCTACACTGGGAGGAGCACTGTGGACCATACCAACCATCTAAACAACCATAAACACATTCACCACTCTGGTTGTGACACTCAGGTCTACAGTCGGCCGACAGATTGACATCATCCGCCTGACACTCGTCAACTGTATAGATGGAGTAAGGAGGTCGACAACCTTCGCTGCAAATCTCGGTACAGAAATTCCCATAGAACCCAGGAACACAGCCAATGGTACACCCATCCTCGCATGAACCTAAACAGTTCACGCACGAGTGTTCACAGTTAGGACCAAAATGTGGTGGACGACATTCCTCACATATTCCTGTCTTTCTGTTGCAAACTTTGCATTCGTCAGAACAGGTCTTACACTCTAACCCGTAGAAAGACTCTTTACATCCTTCATAACAGGTTCGGCCAATGTGGCAGTAGTTCCCGTCACACCCACCTGGACATGGTGTACAGGTGACAATGTGGCGGCCACACGGTCGGATGCAGTTGTAGCCCTGGTATCCTGGCTCGCAGCCTTCAGTGCACCTACCAATACCTCTGCTGGCAATGAGCTGACAGGTGTTATTCCTACAGTTACTGCTGCACACGGATCTGCATGTCTGGCCGAAGTATCCTTTGTGGCACTGTGTGAGGCAGTTGGCGGTGTTGTCATCACAGTCAGAACACTGCTGGTTGTCCCTACATCGAGCACCTGTCAGAACAATTGAAACAGTTTGCCATAAATACTTCCATCAAAGTCTATATTGCTTCCGTTAAATATGTCTGTCACAAAAAAAACAAATCATCTAAAATCAGGTAACTCATTTCACTGGTTCCTACTGGTGCCACGGTCCCTTCGTTATCAAAACAAAGACTGGCATGTCTGCCTGGCAGCACGACCACCATCTGTTCTTAAAGGTGTCGGCCTCGCCGACGCTCCCATGTATCATATATTATCATTATTATTATGTACAGATTAAAAATAAAACATGCAGCAAAGAGGGTTTGAGTGACCCTGGCACAGTCAGGCTGGTTAGGCTCATCATCAGCTCAGGGCCCTTGCCCCCTCTACACGCAGCCCAGACAGCGAATGGAACTTCTCCCAGGAAGCGTCGTCTTGTCAAATCCACCGAATGTACGCTGCAGACTTCTGCATTACCCAGATTATCATGAGGGCTGTATTCCTGGTAGAAAACACGGGTACTCTCCCAATGTCAATCACCAGATTGGGAGGTACCAAACCTAAGGCACCAAGAACCATCGGGAGTCGGACAACTTGGTACTTGGGATGCACGCGTGACCTTTCGAACGCGAGGTCCGCATATTTGCCATTATATATGACAAATCTAATTATCTGGTCATTATAAGCTTTATGATCCGTGACTCTACTTATATGAACCAACTGAATAGATTAACTTATATTGTAGAAGAATTCTTGAAAGGTCTTCCAAGAAATAGACAACACTCCAGGAAACTGAAAGTTTGGCATGGGATTTTGCTCAGACTAGTACAAACTGTAATATCTTTTACGAAAAACATTTTAGATTTTCATTTTTTTCAATCGTTACGGCCACCGTGATCTAGTGGATGTAACGTCTGCCCAGGCAGAGGAATGTCGGTGCCGGGACATTCAAAAATGACCTTAAAAGATAATATTTGTTCTTACCCTGCCTGATTCCGGGGTAGAATAGGTCTTCAGCAACCCATGCTTGCCGTAAAAGGCGACTAACGGGATCGGGTGGTCAGGCTCGCTGACTTGGTTGATACATGTCATCGATCCCAACTGCGTGGATCGATGCTCATGATATCAATCACTGGATTGTCTGGTCCAGACTCGATTATTCACAGACCTCCGTCATATAGCTGGTGCGGCGTTAAGCAACAAACCAACCAATCTTACCCTGCCTAAAGACAGAAACTGCCCCGACCCATCTCTTGATTGTCGTGTTTGTTTACAGGCCGCTCCCGCGTGGCAGCAGTACTGGTGTGCGACATCAGGCAACAAACACTTAGTTTTATGTAGATTATGTGAGTGGCGGGTGCTATCAGTCATGTTTACCCTTTTAGCGATTACCTGGTGTCATCACTGATTTTCAGTGATCCTTTCCTACCATGTTCACCGCAATGTTGCCTTACGCGCCAGATGGACCCTGTCGGAGGATAATCGAGGCTGGATAAAAACTGCCGTTTTACATATAGAGAATCTCACCCGAGTGTCTTTTGATATCAAATATATCAACACGAGTTGATAAAAGTGGAAACATTCCGAGGCTTGCCGATCGCTTGATCTAATCCATCGATATCACCTGTGGAAGCCAGGATGCTAAGTATACTTATACAATAACAATGGGGTCGACCTAGTATACCTTTTGCCGACATTTTTGTAGCACATAATGGAGATCATTTCGTATTCAATATTACTTAAACAGTTTGATCCAGAACAGTTCTCTTGAGTGTCTGTCAAACTGTCAACTGTCAAACACAAAGGTTGCCTCAACATTTCTGCGAATTTCGGAAAAACATATACTTTTGTCAACAGCACAAATCTCTTCAGTTTTGTAAAAGGTGGTGTCTTACCCGGTGAGTGTGCAGCTTGACAGAGCAGCAGTAAGAGCTTCACAAACTTCATAGTTGGTCTGGAAAAGAATAAGACGGATTGGTAAATAACAATGAGAACGTCCACGTGACATTATACATGCCACATCTGAGAATTCCCTACATGAACGATACACAGGTGCAGTTGATTTCAATGTTGACCAGCGTGATTTAAGAACATGATAATTTTTTGGTACAATCTAATTTCTTGTAACAACTCAAGTGGGGCATTACAGCACCCCCACGACTTAAACCAAAGTCGGCCCACATGCATTCCGTAAAGTTTCAATAATGATACAAAGTATACTCGTATTGCATAAAATAATCATTATTGAAACTAAACCAAAATAAAACGGAATCATGTTCAAATATCCTGAATGATGATAACTAGAACATGTGGTAATCGTTCGTCCATCCGTGTGTTGTCATGCTTGCTTGTTTGTTTGTTGTTTAACGCCGCACTCAGCAATATTTCAGCTGTGTGACGGCCGTCTGCAAATAATGGAGTCTGGATCATACAACCAGTGATCGACATCATAAACATCGATCTACGACACCTTCACGTGGATGAACTATTCTGTGAGTTAGTAAGTTAGTGAGTATGGTTTTACGCCGCTTTTAGCAATATTCCAGCAATATCGAGGCGGGGGACACCAGAAATGGGCTTCACACATTCTACCCATGTTGGGAATCGAACCCGGGTCTTCGGCCTGACGAGCGAACGCTTTAACCACTAGGCTACCCGACCGCCCCCGAACTATTCTGTGACAATTAACTGATTGTTCACATGGAAAAAAACTATTTAATGAAATGATTCTTTACAGACTGATGGTAATGTAATCACTGGTCCAGCAATGGCTGTTGTCGGTCCCTGAGTTATATGTCCGCCATTGTGGTGAGGACAGACAAATATTACAATCCATAGTTGAATAGCGAGTGCATGTAGCAATGTTGATTTGAAAGCAAACTTATAGATATTATATATGTTTTATTGTCGGTGCACTGTGTGTTAAACGATGTTATTGTTCGAGCAATTGTTTAAAGAATTAGAACACCCGTGAAAGGAAGTCATACAATTTGTCAACACATTACAATGATCGAGGGCTTCTGTAACTGCGACGAGGTTTTGAAACAGTTAAACGGAGATTCGAAGTGATCGAAGCAACGAGCCCCGCATAGAAAACAGTTGCCCGCATTAAAATAGTTTCAACATAGTCCTAGGGGAGGCGATATTGTCTAACAAACTCGTTCATTGTTTGTGTAAGTACCCGCGAGTGTTTCTCTCTGCTTGATATAGATGTTGTCAAGTCAGAAAGGCAACAATGTCACTCTTTGTGTTTAATGTTTTCACTATTATCCGACAACGCAGATTCCATTGGCCGAAAATGGCAAGATAGTGTTGCAAAAATACTATGAATGGATCACCGTAAATCAGTGATGATACCAGGTGTTCGCGAAGAGGGAAAACATATCCTGCCGGTAGCCGCACCACTCACTAGTATCTGGTGAATCTACTTCATGTGATTGCTGCTCTTTACAGACATAATACTTATATTGGAGATCGTCCTCACTCTGAAAATCACGTACATGGCGCGAATCAGATTACTGGTTTCATTATAAGCACACGTCTTCAACAATCGCTTTCTGTTTCCTGCACAATGCCACGAATGACAAACAATGAATATGAGGTTCAAGGCGTCTAAGTAGAGTAGTTAATTGTGTCGGAAAATGTAAATATTCTTCAAAACAGAAGACCATTAATCCCCAGTATCCAGACACCAAAGTTGTCTATGACTGCCGACCTGGGCGACAGAAGACGACAAACACGTCACGACCAACTCGCTTGGCTCACATCCAATATCACTGTTGATCTGTTAAGGAGTGAGTGAGTGAGTTTGATTTTACGCCGCTTTTAGCAATATTCCAGCAATTTCACGGCGGGGGACACCAGAAATGGGCTTCACACATTGTACCCATGTCGGGAATGGAACCCGGGTCTTCGGCGTGATCTGTCAAGGACCCGTGTTATGCCATGTTACATGTGGATTCCCAAGAGCTTTGCAAATTTATAGGAACAGACGTTAGTGTTTGTGAGGTTGGACAATATCATATTGAGTAAAACACACCCACGTACCTGTGAATGGAATGTCAGCGAAGAAAGAGAAGTCCACAAATATTCATATTCAGTGGGATGCTGTAAATATACGCCTCTTATCATTTCTTTCCATAAATATCGGGATACGGGAAATATTTGTCATCCGGCCAATCTTGTTTCTATTTCTATTTCCATACCAAACTAATAAAGATGACGGAAGGTGGCAGAACCACAAACCTTATTGTCTCCCAAGGGCACAGAGCACGAGGGGAGACAACTCTATAAGTAGGATTTGACCGATCCTTTCCCTCAACATGTCAGCAGTGTTCTGATTGTATAATATCGTTCAAGTTAGTTCCGTTTTTGACGCCCGATATTTTGACATGTTTCAAGAGGCGCCTGTGATAACTGTTGTCATTTACTGATAATAAATATCAACAAACATTGTCTGAAGTTTCAGTTGATCTTTTCATGAACATTTTTCTCGGGTGTTTTTACCCCGAAAAACTCATGAAACCATTGCGCACATATGGATAAGGCATGATGGGTGTCAATCAGAATGTCCGTATAGCTACGTATACAAACAGATAAGTATAACTGATATTAAGATTGAACTGAAACATCAAGGGGTACAATAATTGGACATGACGATTTCAGACGCAATATTCTAGTTACATAAAGGCTCATAGCTTACTCTGTGTTTAATCATGTGTATATGAAAGCTTCTTTCTATTTTGCTTTCCTTGTTTGTTTGACTTTCTTTTGGCGCAAAGGCAACATTTCACCTGTATGACGTCCGCCTGTAATTAATCGAGTCTGGACCAGACAAACCAGTGATTGATATTATGAACAACGATCCACATGTCGGGGTACGATGGATCCCAATAGAACGAGTTTTGCATTAGATAGTAAATGTCACACAAACGAGAAAACGCCAAGTTTTGTATTCTTTATTTGTCATGTGCTCAGCCACAAACAAGCCTCCCTCACAAAATCACACTATGACTGAACTGTACCGACTTAAATCTTAATTAATGATTCCCTGAATTGAGAAATATTAAATGGAATTTAGGAAGTTTTGCAGACATTAGCAGATATAATACCGTCTTCTGAGACACAACCGCATTCAAATTTAAAATAAAACTTGATCCCGATTTATTAAGCAAAACACATGTCTGGGAAACATCAATAAATACAATTGTTAAGGGCGACTTGCGATGAAAAGATGAAAGATGAAAAGAAATATTAAAAAATCGATTTATTCGTTGTTATTATTAGATAGGGTGTCTAAACATTTCTTCAACATTGTATTTCCCGATTTTATAAATCCCCCAAATGTTCAATATTTGTAATTTGGGGTAATGAGTATTCGTAGAATAAAGTGAACCACAATTGGTTCTGGAAATGCATGATTCAAATCGGCAGAAATCAGCTGTCCTTTTTCCCTGTGTCATGTGAGACCTGTCTGTGTTCTACTCGGATGCACACATGTATAACAATGACGTGTATGTTGTTGTACATCGTTGTATTGCACTGTTGTATTGCACTGTTGTATACACCATGTCTAGAATGTCCGATACAGCATCATACTCAAGTCGCCCACGTGACCGGCTCATAACAGAAGACTGCACAGTGAATTATGGCCGTGGTGTTTCGCTATCATGGCTGCTGTTTGCCCAGCATTGTTCTTTGTGCTGATGTTCACCTTGTCCTGCGAGAGGACATACTTCACTATCTGTACATCCCCGCCCTTACAAGCATGGTGGAGGATGTTATTGCCGTCATTGTCCACGAGTGACACATCAGCGCCTTTTAAAACAAGTAAGTCAAACATTTCTTTATACCCGATGTAGGCTGCCGTCATGACGGGAGTCTTTCCCTTCTGGCCTCTGCTGTTGATGTCTGGAACGTCCTGTGACAGGAGATACCTCACCGTGCTCTCATGGCCTCCACCACACGCCAAGTGAAGGATGTTGTCGCCATTATCATCAACGAGGGACAGGTCGCCTCCACGACTCACAAGTAACTTCACTATGTGTGTATGTCCTCGGTACACTGCCGCCATCACGGATGTCCTCCCGCACTGGCCGCGCTTGTTGATGTCCTCGGGGCTCTCAGATAACATCTGTTTAACCAGGCTTAGATCTCCCTTATGACAAGCACTACTCAGCCTGGTGTCCATACTGCATTGTTCTCCTGGTGACGAAACATGGTTATTTTAATTAAATTTTTAATATGAAATAAAATTTCGATCGTATGACGAGTACCTGAACTCTCCCACAGTTTACAAGTCTTTGCATGTTTCTACAAGATAATACACGAACATGGCTTACGTTCAGCAGAAAATACTTGGGAATGAATGTCAACTTATTGTTACTAATTTCAAACTTCATCACAATAATAACTGGTGCATTTGTGATAAAAATCAGTTCCGATACAAATCCCTCTCTTGACGTGTACCATAAGTTCCCGTGTGCCCGTGAACAATTGACTTGGTGTTGCATGTGTTTGTGACGGGCACCGCGGTGAGACAGGATGGGCGCACCTGTTCGCGGACACCAGGTCCTGGCATCATCACAATTTGTTAGCGATTCATAAAATATAACCGGCGATGTCCTTTCCATTATCATAAGAGATCGATTTTACACTTCCGTACATCATGAGCGTGAATGTGTTAATCTCCATCAAATAGTGATGACACCAGGTCTTCACGAAAAGGTGAGCACGATCATGTCATTGGTCGTTTTATTTGTCGACAAAGACATTTACTGTCAGTATTCAAATATTATTTTAGTACTGGACTACGTTGAAAAAGGTATCTTAATCTGATACAATGACTATCATATTTGATAAAACATAATGTAGTTGTAATACATTTAACTCTGATCCATATACCTTCGGAGGGGTTCTCTTCGTTTTTAAGTTCGCAATTTGATGATATACTTTTAATGGTGTAAAGGAATAGTATTGCAGCTATCAATTTACACCTCTCTCCTTTTAATGACCAGAGGAGATCCTTTATATGAGAATGACAGCGAGCTAGTCATGTAATCCAATGTAGGAGTTCATTATAGAAAGTGCTTACTTCAGCAAAACTGTCTGGTTTATGTAGATGTGTCTAAACTTACCTGGAAGTAAAGTCTCTCCGTCAGGGACGGGTCCATCTGTGAATGAGACGTTAAAGGTATCTGCATGAATTTACATCATATATAAATTATTTTGTCTACAGTACTAAACTCTAATGACCTAAATACTGGCCAATTTGGCTAACAATAAAGGTGAGTCTTTGTCACAAGTTGGAGGAAAGCCTTGTGTGATGCAGGCTGAGACGTTTACCCACGAAACCCGCCAATTATGTCACGTCTCAGACATGCAACTAGATAATTGATGGAGTCCATGCTGCAAAGCTATTTCTAAATATCATCCATACAATACTGTGGTTGTCGCCATGCTTCCCTGACATGGTAAATAATTGTAAGCCCTGATACATTTGATTGATACGATTGATAGTTATTAACATATTTTGGACGATGGCCATAATAAGATGATTTCCGCGACATTGCTGATGTAGTTAAATTCACTGTAGGCGACACAGCTGAGCTTACCTTCTTTCTAATGTGAAAAATGTCCTCGCATTGTAATGCTGTGTGCATACCACTGTAATTTCTTACCCGGTCACCAGTTGCTGAGGACCAATACCTACTGCTATAACTTTTCAATACGACGGCTGTATATTTTCAAAGTGACGTTTGAGCACTCACCAGCCGAACTGCAAAATGACAGAAAACACACATAAGTAGTTGATGGCATTTAAACAAACAATCAAAAGATAATTGATCCTTTTCAAGCATAGTAAATGTACATATATTAATTACTTGCATTTGCAATAGTTAACCATGATAAGAATAATAAAGAAGTTGTTATCAACATTAAATCTCCATGTGATGTTTACAACCAACTTCTGAATGCCTATAGAGACTCTGAGCTCGATGACTGCTTCCTGATGCGTAATGCCATTCACTCAACCCTCTGTATGTATTTACCACTGAACACATCATTCATGAACATGTACTCGTTGACGGTGATGAAATGTTCACCGTGTTCTGGTTTTACCTTGTTTGTCCTCTTCTTGCTTTTCTGTGTCTGTAAGAAGAAAGAAAATAATCTTTGGAAGTCCATTTACTTCAAAAGATCTAGCTACATATTGACATACATGAAGGACATATCCATGAAAGGAATGGTATTTGGAACATAATTGATTTAAATCGACCTGAATGTTTTCTTGATTATCCATCGAAACAGATTCCATTGGGAACAAACGGCAAACTAGCGGTAGCACGTACATTGTGTATGAATGGGGCACTAACAATCAGTGATGACACCCGGTGCCCACGACAAGGTTCCCGCCCCGCCGGTAGCACGTACATTGTGTATGAATGGGGCACTAACAATCAGTGATGACACCCGGTGCCCACGACAAGGTTCCCGCCCCGCCGGTAGCACGTACATTGTGTATGAATGGGGCACTAACAATCAGTGATGACACCCGGTGCCCACGACAAGGTTCCTGCCCCGCCGGTAGCACGTACATTGTGTATGAATGGGGCACTAACAATCAGTGATGACGCCCGGTGCCCACGACAAGGTTCCCGCCCCGCCGGTAGCACGTACATTGTGTATGAATGGGGCACTAACAATCAGTGATGACACCCGGTGCCCACGACAAGGTTCCCGCCCCGCCGGTAGCACGTGCATTGTGTATGAATGGGGCACTAACAATCAGTGATGACACCAGGTGCCCACGACAAGGTTCCTGCCCCGCCGGTAGCACGTACATTGTGTATGAATGGGGCACTAACAATCAGTGATGACACCCGGTGCCCACGACAAGGTTCCCGCCCCGCCGGTAGCACGTGCATTGTGTATGAATGGGGCACTAACAATCAGTGATGACACCCGGTGCCCACGACAAGGTTCCCGCCCCGCCGGTAGCACGTACATTGTGTATGAATGGGGCACTAACATTAAAGTGATGACACCCGGTGCCCACGATAAGGTTCCCGCCCCGCCGGTAGCACGTACATTGTGTATGAAGGGGGCACTAACAATCAGTGATGACACCAGGTGCCCACGACAAGGTTCCCGCCCCGCCGGTAGCACGTACATTGTGTATGAATGGGGCACTAACATTAAAGTGATGACACCCGGTGCCCACGATAAGGTTCCCGCCCCGCCGGTAGCACGTACATTGTGTATGAAGGGGGCACTAACAATCAGTGATGACACCCGGTGCCCACGACAAGGTTCCCGCCCCGCCGGTAGCACGTACATTGTGTATGAATGGGGCACTAACAATCAGTGATGACACCCGGTGCCCACGACAAGGTTCCCGCCCCGCCGGTAGCACGTACATTGTGTATGAATGGGGCACTAACAATCAGTGATGACACCCGGTGCCCACGACAAGGTTCCCGCCCCGCCGGTAGCACGTACATTGTGTATGAATGGGGCACTAACAATCAGTGATGACACCCGGTGCCCACGACAAGGTTCCCGCCCTGCCGGTAGCACGTACATTGTGTATGAATGGGGCACTAACAATCAGTGATGACACCCGGTGCCCACGACAAGGTTCCCGCCCCGCCGGTAGCACGTACATTGTGTATGAATGGGGCACTAACAATCAGTGATGACACCCGGTGCCCACGACAAGGTTCCCGCCCCGCCGGTAGCACGTACATTGTGTATGAATGGGGCACTAACAATCAGTGATGACACCCGGTGCCCACGACAAGGTTCCCGCCCCGCCGGTAGCACGTACATTGTGTATGAAGGGGGCACTAACAATCAGTGATGACACCCGGTGCCCACGACAAGGTTCCCGCCCCGCCGGTAGCACGTACATTGTGTATGAAGGGGGCACTAACAATCAGTGATGACACCCGGTGCCCACGACAAGGTTCCCGCCCCGCCGGTAGCACGTACATTGTGTATGAAGGGGGCACTAACAATCAGTGATGACACCAGGTGCCCACGACAAGGTTCCTGCCCCGCCGGTAGCACGTACATTGTGTATGAATGGGGCACTAACAATCAGTGATGACACCCGGTGCCCACGATAAGGTTCCCGCCCCGCCGGTAGCACGTACATTGTGTATGAATGGGGCACTAACAATCAGTGATGACACCCGGTGCCCACGACAAGGTTCCCGCCCCGCCGGTAGCACGTGCATTGTGTATGAATGGGGCACTAACAATCAGTGATGACACCAGGTGCCCACGACAAGGTTCCTGCCCCGCCGGTTCCATGCGCCACTCACACAATTTGTATAAAAATGTAAGAGTTTGTGTGTTGCCTGACGCCGCCCCCAAACAAACCAGACAACCACGTGATGGACCAGAGAATCCAGTATTCGCCTTTCATATTCGTTGACAAGCAAAGTCGGTAGATAAGGGAATTAAGCTGCTTGGTTTGCGTATGTCCCGCAACTTTCCGTGTCTCATCAAGTGTAGAATCAACGATACGCGGAAGTGTGTTATACCTCGCTTCCGGTCCCGTTGTCTTGCTTTCTGCTGTTGTTATCATAGGTGTGTTGGCTATGTCACCTCTCTGCACTTGCACTATACCTACACTCTCCTGATGGTGTGTTGGCTGATATGTCACCTCTCTGCACTTGCACTATACCTACACTGTCCTGATGGTGTGTTGGCGGATATGTCACCTCTCTGCACTTGCACTATACCTACACTGTCCTGATGGTGTGTTGGCTGATATGTCACCTCTCTGCACTTGCACTATACCTACATTGTCCTGATGGTGTGTTGGCTGATATGTCACCTCTCTGCACTTGCACTTTTCCCTTCCTGTCCTGATGGTGTGTTGGCTGATATGTCACCTCTCTGCACTTGCACTATACCTACACTGTCCTGATGGTGTGTTGGCTGATATGTCACCTCTCTGCACTTGCACTATACCTACACTGTCCTGATGGTGTGTTGGCTGATATGTCACCTCTCTGCACTTGCACTATACCTACACTGTCCTGATGGTGTGTTGGCTGATATGTCACCTCTCTGCACTTGCACTTTTCCCTTCCTGTCCTGATGGTGTGTTGGCTGATATGTCACCTCTCTGCACTTGCACTATACCTACACTGTCCTGATTGTGTGTTGGCTATGTCACCTCTCTGCACTTGCACTATACCTACACTGTGCTGATGGTGTGTTGGCTGATATGTCACCTCCCTGCACTTGCACCATACCTACACTGTCCTGATGGTGTGTTGGCTGATATGTCACCTCTCTGCACTTGCACTATACCTACACTGTCCTGATGGTGGGTTGGCTGATATGTCACCTCTCTGCACTTGCACTATACCTACACTGTCCTGATGGTGTGTTGGCTGATATGTCACCTCTCTGCACTTGCACTATACCTACACTGTCCTGATGGTGTGTTGGCTGATATGTCACCTCTCTGCACTTGCACTATACCTACACTGTCCTGATGGTGTGTTGGCTGATATGTCACCTCTCTGCACTTGCACTATACCTACACTCTCCTGATGGTGTGTTGGCTGATATGTCACCTCTCTGCACTTGCACTATACCTACACTGTCCTGATGGTGTGTTGGCTATGTCACCTCTCTGCACTTGCACTATACCTACACTCTCCTGATGGTGTGTTGGCTGATATGTCACCTCTCTGCACTTGCACTATACCTACACTGTCCTGATGGTGTGTTGGCTGATATGTCACCTCTCTGCACTTGCACTATACCTACACTGTCCTGATGGTGTGTTGGCTATGTCACCTCTCTGCACTTGCACTATACCTACACTGTCCTGATGGTGTGTTGGCTGATATGTCACCTTTCTGCACTTACACTACACCTACACTGTCCTGATGGTGTGTTGGCTGATATGCCACCTCTCTGCACTTGCACCATACCTACACTGTCCTGATGGTGTGTTGGCTATGTCACCTCTCTGCACTTGCACTATACCTACACTGTCCTGATGGTGTGTTGGCTATGTCACCTCTCTGCACTTGCACTATACCTACTCTGTCCTGATGGTGTGTTGGCTGATATGTCACCTCTCTGCACTTGCACTATACCTACACTGTCCTGATGGTGTGTTGGCTGATATGTCACCTATCTGCACTTGCACTATACCTACACTGTCCTGATGGTGTGTTGGCTATGTCACCTCTCTGCACTTGCACTTTTCCCTTCCTGTCCTGATGGTGTGTTGGCTGATATGTCACCTCTCTGCACTTGCACTATACCTACACTGTCCTGATTGTGTGTTGGCTATGTCACCTCCCTACAGTTGCACTATACCTACACTGTGCTGACGGTGTGTTGGCTGATATGTCACCTCCCTGCACTTGCACCATACCTACACTGTCCTGATGGTGTGTTGGCTGATATGTCACCTCTCTGCACTTGCACTATACCTACTCTGTCCTGATGGTGTGTTGGCTGATATGTCACCTCTCTGCACTTGCACTATACCTACACTGTCCTGATGGTGTGTTGGCTGATATGTCACCTCTCTGCACTTGCACTATACCTACACTCTCCTGATGGTGTGTTGGCTGATATGTCACCTCTCTGCACTTGCACTATACCTACACTGTCCTGATGGTGTGTTGGCTGATATGTCACCTCTCTGCACTTGCACTATACCTACACTGTCCTGATGGTGTGTTGGCTATGTCACCTCTCTGCACTTGCACTATACCTACACTCTCCTGATGGTGTGTTGGCTGATATGTCACCTCTCTGCACTTGCACTATACCTACACTGTCCTGATGGTGTGTTGGCTGATATGTCACCTCTCTGCACTTGCACTATACCTACACTGTCCTGATGGTGTGTTGGCTATCTCACCTCTCTGCACTTGCACTATACCTACACTGTCCTGATTGTGTGTTGGCTGATATGTCACCTTTCTGCACTTACACTACACCTACACTGTCCTGATGGTGTGTTGGCTGATATGCCACCTCTCTGCACTTGCACCATACCTACACTGTCCTGATGGTGTGTTGGCTATGTCACCTCTCTGCACTTGCACTATACCTACACTGTCCTGATGGTGTGTTGGCTATGTCACCTCCCTGCACTTGCACTATACCTACTCTGTCCTGATGGTGTGTTGGCTATGTCACCTCTCTGCACTTGCACTATACCTACTCTGTCCTGATGGTGTGTTGGCTATGTCACCCCTCTGCACTTGCACTATACCTACACTGTCCTGATGGTGTGTTGGCTGATATGTCACCTATCTGCACTTGCACTATACCTACACTGTCCTGATGGTGTGTTGGCTATGTCACCTCTCTGCACTTGCACTTTTCCCTTCCTGTCCTGATGGTGTGTTGGCTGATATGTCACCTCTCTGCACTTGCACTATACCTACACTGTCCTGATTGTGTGTTGGCTATGTCACCTCCCTACACTTGCACTATACCTACACTGTGCTGATGGTGTGTTGGCTGATATGTCACCTCCCTGCACTTGCACCATACCTACACTGTCCTGATGGTGTGTTGGCTGATATGTCACCTCTCTGCACTTGCACTATACCTACTCTGTCCTGATGGTGTGTTGGCTGATATGTCACCTCTCTGCACTTGCACTTTTCCCTTCCTGTCCTGATGGTGTGTTGGCTGATATGTCACCTCTCTGCACTTGCACTATACCTACACTGTCCTGATTGTGTGTTGGCTATGTCACCTCCCTACACTTGCACTATACCTACACTGTGCTGATGGTGTGTTGGCTGATATGTCACCTCCCTGCACTTGCACCATACCTACACTGTCCTGATGGTGTGTTGGCTGATATGTCACCTCTCTGCACTTGCACTATACCTACACTGTCCTGATGGAGTGTTGGCTGATATGTCACCTCTCTGCACTTGCACTATACCTACACTGTCCTGATGGAGTGTTGGCTGATATGTCACCTCTCTGCACTTGCACTATACCTACACTCTCCTGATGGTGTGTTGGCTGATATGTCACCTCTCTGCACTTGCACTATACCTACACTGTCCTGATGGTGTGTTGGCTGATATGTCACCTATCTGCACTTGCACTATACCTACACTGTCCTGATGGTGTGTTGGCTATGTCACCTCTCTGCACTTGCACTATACCTACTCTGTCCTGATGGTGTGTTGGCTATGTCACCCCTCTGCACTTGCACTATACCTACACTGTCCTGATGGTGTGTTGGCTGATATGTCACCTATCTGCACTTGCACTATACCTACACTGTCCTGATGGTGTGTTGGCTATGTCACCTCTCTGCACTTGCACTTTTCCCTTCCTGTCCTGATGGTGTGTTGGCTGATATGTCACCTCTCTGCACTTGCACTATACCTACACTGTCCTGATTGTGTGTTGGCTATGTCACCTCCCTACACTTGCACTATACCTACACTGTGCTGATGGTGTGTTGGCTGATATGTCACCTCCCTGCACTTGCACTATACCTACACTGTCCTGATGGTGTGTTGGCTGATATGTCACCTCTCTGCACTTGCACTATACCTACACTGTCCTGATGGTGTGTTGGCTGATATGTCACCTCTCTGCACTTGCACTATACCTACATTGTCCTGATGGTGTGTTGGCTGATATGTCACCTCTCTGCACTTGCACTATACCTACACTGTCCTGATGGTGTGTTGGCTGATATGTCACCTCTCTGCACTTGCACTATACCTACACTGTCCTGATGGTGTGTTGGCTATGTCACCTCTCTGCACTTGCACTATACCTACACTGTCCTGATGGTGTGTTGGCTGATATGTCACCTCTCTGCACTTGCACTATACCTACACTGTCCTGATGGTGTGTTGGCTGATATGTCACCTCTCTGCACTTGCACTATACCTACACTGTCCTGATGGTGTGTTGGCTGATATGTCACCTCTCTGCACTTGCACTATACCTACACTGTCCTGATGGTGTGTTGGCTGATATGTCACCTCTCTGCACTTGCACTTTTCCCTTCCTGTCCTGATGGTGTGTTGTCTGATATGTCACCTCTCTGCACTTGCACTATACCTACACTGTCCTGATTGTGTGTTGGCGGATATGTCACCTCTCTGCACTTGCACTATACCTACACTGTCCTGATGGTGTGTTGGCTGATATGTCACCTCTCTGCACTTGCACTATACCTACACTGTCTTGATGGTGTGTTGGCTGATATGTCACCTCTCTGCACTTGCACTATACCTACACTGTCCTGATGGTGTGTTGGCTGATATGTCACCTCTCTGCACTTGCACTATACCTACATTGTCCTGATGGTGTGTTGGCTGATATGTCACCTCTCTGCACTTGCACTATACCTACACTGTCCTGATGGTGTGTTGGCTGATATGTCACCTCTCTGCACTTGCACTATACCTACACTGTCCTGATGGTGTGTTGGCTATGTCACCTCTCTGCACTTGCACTATACCTACACTGTCCTGATGGTGTGTTGGCTGATATGTCACCTATCTGCACTTGCACTATACCTACACTGTCCTGATGGTGTGTTGGCTGATATGTCACCTCTCTGCACTTGCACTATACCTACACTGTCCTGATGGTGTGTTGGCTGATATGTCACCTCTCTGCACTTGCACTATACCTACACTGTCCTGATGGTGTGTTGGCTGATATGTCACCTCTCTGCACTTGCACTATACCTACACTGTCCTGATGGTGTGTTGGCTGATATGTCACCTCTCTGCACTTGCACTTTTCCCTTCCTGTCCTGATGGTGTGTTGGCTGATATGTCACCTCTCTGCACTTGCACTATACCTACACTGTCCTGATTGTGTGTTGGCGGATATGTCACCTCTCTGCACTTGCACTATACCTACACTGTCCTGATGGTGTGTTGGCTGATATGTCACCTCTCTGCACTTGCACTATACCTACACTGTCCTGATGGTGTGTTGGCTGATATGTCACCTCTCTGCACTTGCACTATACCTACACTGTCCTGATGGTGTGTTGGCTGATATGTCACCTCTCTGCACTTGCACTATACCTACACTGTCCTGATGGTGTGTTGGCTGATATGTCACCTCTCTGCACTTGCACTATACCTACACTGTCCTTGTGGTGCCATGTCCAAATATTTAAGTAAAATGTTCTTGCAAATGGTGATGTGAATTAAAATCAAATATATATGATGTGTAAACTTTACAACCATAAACACGTTTCTGAATGCCACGCCTCCAACAAAACCACGAATTAGTAACATCGATTTGGAAACTGTTTTTGTTTTAATATTTTAGTAAATATGCCTCTTCCCGTTACTTTTCCATTAATGGAAAATATAAACACACCTTCTCCTGCCTGGCACGGGGTACAAGTTAAAGACATACATCCAGGATGTATCACCAGGTTTGTAGTGAAACTGTGGGTGTATTGGGTGATTCATCTCGATATGTTTGTAGTTTAAGTGTGTGTGTTATTGCCCCAAAACATTCATATTTGGATAGTTGAGCCGAAATCGTACCTTCTGTAGACAATCACTGTGACGATGACGCCGATTATCAGAAAGATTGTGACGAACACAGGGACAAGTATCGCAACCATTGGTGTTGGTGCAGTCTGTTCTGATCTTCTCCACTCAGCCGTCTTATTTACAGACCTCCCGTTGTCATTACCTTTCTGATCATTTTCTGTAATAAAAGACTCTCTTATGTCCAGTCACCAAACACAACTACATACACATCCTAATGTTTGTCCGACTACTGCTCTGGGAATTGTGATTGAAGGACGAAGCTAATTTTAATGCAGTCGGTAACATTCCAACCATTTCGTAGTCGACAATGGACCAACCAGTGATTGAAAGTATGATGAAATATGATCCACACTATCGGGCCAATGCCAAACAATCAGTCAAGTAACCACGCCAGACAACCCACTGTATATATTCGACCTTAAGCCATGTAAGCCATATTACTTTGTTGGATTGTGACCAATGGTCTTGGAAAACATCAGTGCAAGCGGCAATTATACAGTGGCATACGACCAGTGTGGCCCTTGAACAGAGGTCAAACAGGACATGTTCTCTCAGGATGGCGCAGGGAGAGCGTACGGTTTGATTTTTTGATCGACACTGAAGGTAATGGCTGGCTCTTTCTCTCTGTGCACTGATTCAGTCCTGTGTTGTATCTTATTAAATCTAAAGTGAACATATGTTCTTATTAAAGTAGCAAGACAAATACGACTTTAAACCTCGGAAGACCCACCCCACCCCACCCCACCCACACACACCCACACACCCCCTTACCCTCGCCCACGTCCCCCACACCCTACCCCACCGACCCCACACACCCACACACCCACCCTACACAGCCTGACCCCAACACACCCAAACCCAACCAAACACACCCCACCCAGACCCTTCCACACACCAGCCCAACCCCACCCCACACAACCCCCAGACACTCACACAAACATCCACACACCACACACACCCCACACCCAGCAATCCACACACCCCACACCAAGCACTCCACGCACCCCACCCCCAGCACTCGACACACCCCACCATCACCACTCCACATCCCCCACACCCACCACTCCACACACCCCACCCTCACCACTCCACACACCCCAGCACACCACACACCACACCCCCAGCACTCTACACACCCCACCCTTAGCACTCCACACACCCCACACCCAGCACACCACACCACCTCCTCCGAATGTGACTGATCCCTTAGACGTATATATTTCCAAACTGGAATCTTGATGTTGGAAGTGTCCTTACCTTAATTAGTAAGATACCTAATGCACCTTCTCTGTTACCGGCATTTCATTCTCCACAGGAAGTGAACATTGTTCAGTTTATGAAAAAATCTACTTCGATTACCATTTTGGAAGAGAGGACATACACATGGAGTCGGTGATGGACGACAAGCATGTCAAACTTAGTCAATGTAATGTCACGGATTTTGTATCCGATTCTCTTCCCATAACAATATACATACCTTGGTGTATTTCACAGAAATCCCCCGTATTGTGTCCTGTACAGCCCTGGGTGCACTGGCCGGTCTGGTGATTGCAGATGTGTCCCCGGCAGTTCCTGCTGCAGGGGAGTTGGCACTGAGCACCAAACCGTCCAGCCACGCATCCCTCAGAGCATCTACCACTGTGTCTGTCACAGTGCACATCCTGGCCGGAATGGGGGAAACAGGAACGGCTGCAGTTCAGTTGACAGTGTTCTCCATATTTGCCCACTGGACACTCCTGGCCCAGTACGCCCAATACGCCCACTCCTGAAAAAGGAGCAAGAAGTTAATTTTCCCACAATACTTGGCGGTCTACTTGTCAAAATATACCTTGTTATATCTTCTTGTAGGCGCCATTTCTAGATCCAGAAACCTTTAGTCGAAAATAAAACGCTTATAAAACCTAAACTGTTTTAAGAAAGCACGATGCGTGTGCTTTGTCATGGCGGATTAATGCTAAGTGACTTTTGGGACACTCCCCAAACATCCCAACAACAATTATTTTACCAGCACAGCAGAGTAATCATTGCATGTTGGTCAATGAAGTTAAAACAGCTCAGCACTCACCAAATAAAGAGGTCAGCAGACCGTGTCGCAACATGTCTTGTTCTGTGCTTTGCCCCTGGGTGAGAGAGAAGAAACACAAGGAATATTTCACGTGTTGACTAATTAATAAGTGTTCATAAAGGGAAAGTATTGTCTTAACATGTGACCTCTATGTGAATTAAGGACACGTGTTTACTATTTTCATTCATTGTGTGTCGTACATGTACACGTGGCTGTCACAGCAACCAGCGGCCTTGGGGTCGGGACTTGACTTGACCGGGGATGACTTTGGCGGGTGGAGTGGGGTGTCGGGGAGAGATGTGTTCATCTACAAATCAACATTGCGAGTGTTTAATTGATTACATTGGGTAAACAGTCTTTGGGCAAGGCGTCTGCGATATCTAAAGGATGGGCGGTGAGGAAGCCTCGTAGTTCATTCGAAGGCCCAGGTTTGATTGGTACAACTTGTGTAGCCGTTTTGCGCTGTACTCCCGCCGTGATATCGCTAAAAGCAGTGTTAAACCACACTCACTCATTCTTACGTGGATGCTATACATGTTTAATAAATTTACTTGAGTGCTCTCAATCATTGTAGCTTCCACGTTAACTACACTTGACTTGAGCGAGTAAAAACACATAGGACATGACTAGGCAATACATGTTCTTGTACTTATCTGCAATAACATGATGTGACACATTGAGTACAGAAAGCTGATTGGAAATGAGGAAACTGACCTTTTTCAAGCGATTCAGTGTTAAATCTTACTCTCAAGCACGCGCACAAAAAATCTCTTGTTGTTTTACTGGGTTGTTTTTAAAGAAACTTGATACGCATCAGCCTAAAATAGATATTGTCTAAAAAAAGCGTAATTTGTGTGAGGGCGCACACTATTTATCATAAGAAACATCGATCACTTACAGCTGTGATAGGAGTAAGGCTAGGTAACCTGGAATTGGTCGGTCAGTGTAATAGTACAGGACTGGTTCCCATCTCTCTGCAGAATATATTGTCATGGAATTACTTAGTATGTCTATGTTCTGTACATGTTTTCAGTAAGTAAAGTTCTACGGTCACACATGTTGCGTTAAGGTTCCACGTGTTCTACCAACCCTCACATATGTATCCTTTGTCGTAACGTTACTAAAACAAACACACTGGGATTGTGTGGATGGCATGCAAAATTACAACAATTGCCCTGATATTGTGTGGAGGATGACATGATTCCCATGTTAGGTCTACAGCAATTGGTGGTCCAGAATGGTCAGTTATACAACTACTGCAGCAACCCTAGCACCCACGTCCCTTGGATACGACCAGAACGGACAGTTGCCAGATGGTCCACGTCAAGCAACAACGGAGGGTCGATGTGACTGGTCCGATATCCCGGTTGATGAACATCTTTTTTATTATCGCTGTGCCCCTCAAACATTACATTTTTCTAATCCTGTTATTGTCATTTCAAAGGGGGAACCTGCCCAGTATGAATACTCCCTGCGTACAGTTCGGGACATCACTTCGGGCGTTCCTCACACATCCAGCTGACAGGAGTGATACAACGTAACTGAAAGACTGTCAAAGCCGGTAAAGCACAGTGACTCACCCACTCACTCAAATGTTGAATGACGCAACGTAACAAACGATATCTCAAATCCACCGACACTACGGCCAAATGACCTACATAAAGGATTGTCAACAAATACACTGTCTGTTCGCAATCCGACGTTCATTTCCTCATGCCTTGTCACATGCCTACCTTCAGAGACAGCGAGTTTCATGACGACTATTCCGTTGTTCGGCCCCAGCACGTAACATGTACATCATGTAACGGGTATCGCTATCTGCTGATCATATCAACACACACACACGCCCTAATTCTATTCAGTGATCCTAGAAATAGACCTGACATTAGCTTCAAGCTGGTGTTTAATGACCTGAATGATGACACTATCAGTATGTAGAATATGAAAGATCGAACTGCATGTTAGAACCTACCAATGAGCTTGTTGTCTTTGCCCGCGAATGTCTCGGCAATGTTGATGGTAAATACACATCACATCCCTCTTTCGTTATCGTGGGACAAGGGAGACAACTGAGATGTGTCTGTGGTCCTGGGAGGTGCAATACAGGAATACATGAAGCGTGAGTTCGGGTGGAGCGTGCGTTTGTTTATTCACCATATGCCTTGTGTTTACACATCAATGAATATCATGCACAGTATTGACGGATGGTTATTCTCAAACATTTCAAAAGGAAACATGTGTTATCTGTAAGGACAGAAGACACTTCTCCCGAAGCACCTGTTAACAACTGAAAATGTAATGATTGATTCATTAAGCACGCCAGATGAGTAACAAGCAGTAATTAATATCGCTGCAGAAGTATTGTGACAACGTGATTTTACATGACAGCACCACCCGATTTACAAAGATGACTTCAAGATGTGACCCTGCAGACTTGTCTCTAAGAGTTCCCTGTTACGTATAATTATATACATGTGCTCTGATTTACAAAGATGACGTCAAGGTGTGACCCTGCAGTCTTGTCTCTTACAGTTTCCTGTTAGGTATAATTATATACATGTGCTCTGATTTACGTGTGCTTATCCCCCTGGGTATCCCGTGTCAGATATTCCAAGTAACCTCAGCTTGTTATAAAGGCGACTGAGGAGATCGGGGTGTCAGTCTCAGTGACCTGGCTGATCGTGTGTCATCGCCCCCTGACGACGTCTATAGCTACTCATTATATAACATTGGTTTTGAAGGTCTGGACGTGATCATTTACAGGCGCCTTTCAGATATACACTATTAATCTGACATGTTTAACCTAATGATAAGTGTGAGTGCAGTAGGTGTCATATTGATTTGGTTAAAATCCGTCTCTAATCATTTCCTCACTTTCTATAATTCGGAACGTACATGCTGTTCATTGCATCATTCAATCTCATATCTGGTAATGAGTGCAGCTTACAATGAAGCTATCATTTGCAATACAAAGACAATGATTAATATTTCTAACTAACACGGGAGAAATGACACAATCATGAACACATGCTTATAATGTAGTCGGAACCGTACAACGGACGCAGCTGTTAGAAGAGAATTCTTATCATTGTGGAAATATGTTCTTCTTCCATGTTTATGACACGTGACTCAACTACACGACACAACTACACGACACAGCTACACGACACAACTACACGACACAACTACACGACACAGCTACACGACACAGCTACATGACACAACTACACGACACAACTACACGACACAACTACATGACACAGCTACATGACACAACAACACGACACAACTACACGACACAACTACATGACACAACTACATGACACAACTACACGACACAACTACACGACACAGCTACACGACACAGCTACACGACACAACTACACGACACAACTACATGACACAGCTACACGACACAACTACACGACACAGCTACACGACACAACTACACGACACAGCTACACGACACAACTACACGACACAGCTACACGACACAACTACACGACACAGCTACACGACACAACTACACGACACAGCTACACGACACAACTACACGACACAGCTACACGACACAACTACACGACACAACTACACGACACAACTACATGACACAACTACACGACACAACTACACGACACAGCTACACGACACAACTACACGATACAACTACACTACACAACTACACGACACAACTACACGACAAAGCTACACGACACAACTATATGACACAACTACACGACAAAGCTACACGACACAACTACATGACACAGCTACACGACACAACTACATGACAAAGCTACACGACAAAGCTACATGACACAACTACATGACAAAGCTACACGACACAACTACACGACACAACTACACGACACAACTACACGACACAGCTACACGACACAACTGCACGACACAGCTACACGACACAACTACACGACACAGCTACACGACACAACTACACGACACAGCTACACGACACAACTACACGACACAGCTACACGACACAACTACACGACACAGCTACACGACACAACTACACGACACAACTACACGACACAACTACATGACACAACTACACGACACAACTACACGACACAGCTACACGACACAACTACACGATACAACTACACGACACAACTACACGACACAACTACACGACAAAGCTACACGACACAACTATATGACACAACTACACGACAAAGCTACACGACACAACTACATGACACAGCTACACGACACAACTACATGACAAAGCTACACGACAAAGCTACATGACACAACTACATGACAAAGCTACACGACACAACTACACGACACAACTACACGACACAACTACACGACACAGCTACACGACACAACTACACGACACAGCTACACGACACAACTACACGACACAACTACACGACACAGCTACACGACACAGCTACATGACACAACTACACGACACAACTACACGACACAACTACATGACACAGCTACATGACACAACAACACGACACAACTACACGACACAACTACATGACACAACTACACGACACAACTACACGACACAACTACACGACACAGCTACACGACACAGCTACACGACACAACTACACGACACAACTACATGACACAGCTACAAGACACAACTACACGACACAGCTACACGACACAACTACACGACACAGCTACACGACACAACTACACGACACAGCTACACGACACAACTACACGACACAGCTACACGACACAACTACACGACACAACTACACGACACAGCTACACGACACAACTACACGACACAGCTACACGACACAACTACACGACACAACTACACGACACAACTACATGACACAACTACACGACACAACTACACGACACAACTACACGACATAGCTACACGACACAGCTACACGACACAACTACACGACACAACTACATGACACAGCTACAAGACACAACTACACGACACAGCTACACGACACAACTACACGACACAGCTACACGACACATCTACACGACACAGCTACACGACACAACTACACGACACAGCTACACGACACAACTACACGACACAACTACATGACACAACTACACGACACAACTACACGACACAACTACACGACACAGCTACACGACACAGCTACACGACACAACTACACGACACAACTACATGACACAGCTACAAGACACAACTACACGACACAGCTACACGACACAACTACACGACACAGCTACACGACACAACTACACGACACAGCTACACGACACAACTACACGACACAGCTACACGACACAACAACACGACACAGCTACACGACACAACTACACGACACAGCTACACGACACAACTACACGACACAACTACACGACACAACTACATGACACAACTACACGACACAACTACACGACACAGCTACACGACACAACTACACGATACAACTACACTACACAACTACACGACACAACTACACGACAAAGCTACACGACACAACTATATGACACAACTACACGACAAAGCTACACGACACAACTACATGACACAGCTACACGACACAACTACATGACAAAGCTACACGACAAAGCTACATGACACAACTACATAACAAAGCTACACGACACAACTACACGACACAACTACACGACACAACTACACGACACAGCTACACGACACAACTACACGACACAGCTACACGACACAACTACACGACACAGCGACACGACACAACTACACGACACAACTACATGCCACAGCTACACGACACAACTACACGACACAGCTACATGACACAACTACACGACACAACTACATGACACAGCTACATGACACAACAACACGACACAACTACACGACACAACTACATGACACAACTACATGACACAACTACACGACACAACTACACGACACAGCTACACGACACAGCTACACGACACAACTACACGACACAACTACATGACACAGCTACACGACACAACTACACGACACAGCTACACGACACAACTACACGACACAGCTACACGACACAACTACACGACACAGCTACACGACACAACTACACGACACAGCTACACGACACAACTACACGACACAGCTACACGACACAACTACACGACACAACTACACGACACAACTACATGACACAACTACACGACACAACTACACGACACAGCTACACTACACAACTACACGACACAACTACACGACAAAGCTACACGACACAACTATATGACACAACTACACGACAAAGCTACACGACACAACTACATGACACAGCTACACGACACAACTACATGACAAAGCTACACGACAAAGCTACATGACACAACTACATGACAAAGCTACACGACACAACTACACGACACAACTACACGACACAACTACACGACACAGCTACACGACACAACTACACGACATAGCTACATGACACAACTACACGACACAGCTACACGACACAACTACACGACACAACTACACGACACAGCTACACGACACAACTACACGACACAGCTACATGACACAACTACACGACACAACTACATGACACAACTACATGACACAGCTACATGACACAACAACACGACACAACTACACGACACAACTACATGACACAACTACATGACACAACTACACAACACAACTACACGACACAGCTACACGACACAGCTACACGACACAACTACACGACACAACTACACGACACAGCTACACGACACAACTACACGACACAGCTACACGACACAGCTACACGACACAGCTACACGACACAACTACACGACACAACTACACGACACAGCTACACGACACAACTACACGACACAACTACACTACACAACTACACGACACAACTACACGACAAAGCTACACGACACAACTATATGACACAACTACATGACACAACTACACGACACAACTAAACGACACAGCTACCCGACACAACTACACGACACAACTACACTACACAGCTACACGACACAACTACACGACACAGCTACACGACACAACTACACGACACAACTACACTACACAACTACACGACACAACTACACGACAAAGCTACACGACACAACTATATGAC